TTTAATGTTGTAATTTATTCAGTATCCTCTTACTCTACTGCAGGATTACCAAGTTTTATTTTCCAATTTAAAGAGCTCTGCGACTGAGCCTCCTGAGACTGTTTTTGTTTTATCTCTGTTGCCCTGAGGAAACAGTGGACTGAAGCCCAGAGACACCACAACACAGTCAGTGATTAGAGCTGTATGAAACAACACATCCCACAAGAACAACGTCAGACTCTGGCAAGGCAAAAATACTCAAATATACAATATAGCTTAGTGCAACACACACACACACATACGCACACACATCGTTTTTTTTCCCTGTCACACAGAGTGAAGAATAGGACCTCGGGGCAAATCACTGAGCAGACAGCTGGCGGAAGTTTTGATTTAAAGGCTGAAAATTAGTTGAATAAATGTGTGTGTTACCTTCCAACATCCCATACACTCTGTCTCATTCCCTCACACACACACACAAGGCAGTAACCCTAAAAGGACCAGGGTACAGAGGAGAATATCCTGTTTGGTTGGCGGCAGTAATTGAATGGAACAGTCAAAGAGCAGAGCCCTGGGAAAGACTGTCTGCAGCTGTAGACAAAGAAGAAAAAAGCCATTTCTCACTATCGGTCGCTCATATTATTGCTGGACTGTGGCCCTTTCCCGCATGTCTGTCCAGGAATTGAGTTGTAACACTGCACACACATAGCACACACTTTTAGCTGTTGCGGAGCAGTTCAGCAAGACAGAATGCTGCAGAGAACATAAAGGAAGGGGAAATGTAGGGTCCTCTGGGGCTGAATCTCTCTTTTTCTCTTACACACACACGTACATATACATACAGTACAAGAGAAACTTCTGTTTTTAAGGATAGGTCAGGGTATGGAGAGGTCTGACACAACAAACTCAAAAACCAGTCATTATGGCCTTGACACCGGGTTGACCCCAGCCTTGATGCTTCCAGGTCTAAATCAAATCCAAGATGTCTGTGTCACCATGGACTTGCTTATGGTGGCCCTGAGTGATCTAAGCACTGCAAATTAAGCAGAAACTGTTTCAAGGGTGACGCAAAAAAGTGATGCATACTCACGGTGCACCTCTTTCATCTGTTAAATGTTAGCCATTTGCTTATTAGGCTGTCAATTCAAACAATCAGACCCAGTACCCACAGTTAATTGTGAAATAGGCTAATTTTATGTTTGCTGGCTAAACCATTAATAAATACTCTCAGGACCTGTAATAAGGGAAAAGCAACTACTGGTAGGTTTTTCTGATATGAGCAATACAATTAAATCACTAAATAACTGATGTCTGTTCTTTCATTACAGAAAGGCACAACAGGAATTTTAAACTATGGAACTCTTGCCTTACCCCAAGATGCCAAATGATAAATGATGATTAATGTGAATTAGACATGATAATGTTGCCTAATATGAGAATAGATTAGTAGCAAAGCCAGGGAAGTTAACCTGATAGGTATTAAAGGAGCTATATGTAAGAAATCTAAAGCAAATAGTCATAAAATCCTCCTAATATGTCACAGAGACTAAGGAATAATGTTCATATAACATACTGATCTCACCGACAACAATAGTACAGCCAGAATATTTGCATCTAAAAAAAAAATTTACGGTCCGCAAATCATGTTTATGTTTTGAATTTGTGTTTTGGCCTGTTGCGCCACCCACCGCCGTCTACCAGTCACGCAATCAGTAGAGTCTCACCATCAGTTACAGTTACGACTGAGCTACAGCAGCATGGCAAGCAGCATTAGCAGTGTCCCGGTACATAGCATTAGCAGCCGGCTCCTCATGAGCTGTAGCCTATCCCGGCAGCAGCGTTAGCAGCAGAGAAGCCGGACTTGCTCGAATGGTCCGCTGGAAAACCGAAGATCACGGATGCGGCGGCACGACCCTGCCACAGCAGCCGCCCGTGGGCAAACAAATCAGTCTCCAGCGTGCTGCTGTCCAGCAACCTCGAATCTGTAGGGGAGGGGGGGCGGACACGACTCGCGGCAGTATTTTGAATTTGAGTGCAGTAACCGTTTTGGCCACATTCTTACATACAGCGCCTTTAAGTTTTGTCAGCATATTCGCATTATGTGACATCCTACGAAAAATGCATGCACAACAGTTTCTATAATATCCTACGAATTTGCGCCCAACGAATGACATTACGCTCTGAATGTACAGTTACATAATTAACGTCAAGTTCCGGAGGTTAGGTTAAGACAATAAAGGTTACTTTGGTTAGGTTTAGGAAAAGAAACATGGTGAGGATGTACCATAAAATGACTCAAAGTTCACATGAATCCGAACACACATCTCCAGGGGAAAGTCTCTGGCAAAAGTTTGTTTTTTTTTTGACCCATTTATTACACTAAAATGCCTCCTTACAAGTGCGCAGGACTGCTTCCTTGTTTACAGCCATCAGCACATTGTGATCGCAGCCTTTCGAAATAGGTGGGGTATGTACGAATTTGGATGCATTGCTTTTCATAGGAAAATATACGAAAAATTTGTGAGAGCAGTTTTGTACAGCACCTTAGTGTTTGAAAACAGCATTTGCAATAAGTTATTTCTGATAAACGTGAAAATTCCTCTTTTACACAGGTAACACATTTTGTCACCTTTTCCTCCACTTGAATAGCCATGAAACCTGAAGGACTGAGCAGACTTGAACTTGAGGAAGGTTTTTGGAGTCCCTGGGAAGATTAAAACTGGTACCCTGAATTTTTTTTGGGGGGAAAAAGTGATTAGAACATTTTACAATTTTGTGAAACCTCTTTGTATGTTGTACTGCTAGAGGTATTTATTATTTCAAATCACCTTTTAAAGAAATTTACCCACAGCCAAGGCAGGGTCAGGTTGATATTGAGATAATACAGGAGGTCTTCACCCCACCCCTCTGCCTCCTGTCACACTACAGAGGTTTTACTGTGACATAGCCATGATAAAACCACTCAGTTCACAAACAGTTGAGTGTAAATGTGGTGGTATAAATTGTTTGAATGGAGGAGCTGTCTCTTTAGCACTTGGCCCTCACTGAAAGACATGAGCTAGTGCTGGAAGCTCTGCCTGTATTTATTTTTAGAGATAGGATGGGTTGTTGGTGCATGTGAGTATTGACTTATTGACATTTTCTTTAATATACCAGCAAACTATATTCAGCCCCCGTCTAGCCCTGTCTCATCTTCTAAACCTCCTGCTATTAATTTCAAGCATCCACTTTGCTCTTGCCTGCCAGACTAAAAATTAATGTGTCTGCATCTTTACATTGCAGTGCAACAGGCCTCTCCCAGCAACAGATAAGACGGCAACATCTTGGCCAACAGTCATAAAGCTGGCCAGTGCTGGTGGTGCACCGGTGCCTGGATGTCGCCATGGCGGCTGTAAAGCAGCAGCCTTGTTGCTGACAGGCCTGTATCTGGATGTCGCCATGGCGGCTGTAAAGCAGCAGCCTTGTTGCTGACAGGCCTGTATTTTCTTCAGCGGTGTGGTCAACTCAAACCTGGCCATCATAAAGCAGAGTTGGAACACAACCTTTGGTCGACACTGCTGGCTTAAACAACCAGCAGGAGAACACACCCTCCTTGTACACACACACACACACACACACACACACACATATGAATTAGCGCACACATATACCTGACTGTGTGCATTGGAGCGTGGGCAAATATATTTTTGCTAACAATAGATGCAAATGCACAAACATCTTTGCAGAAATGCCCAATAGACAATGCAGAGCAGGGATCAGAAAACCAAAATGTAATGGTAAGTGTTAGATGATGTGCCCATCAGCTGAGGGGATTCTATTGTAAACAGAGCACAGGATGTGTAAAGAAAAAATCATGATGACTTTAGCAGTTGCCAAAGAGTATATGAAAACTATATTAGTTTTGCAAAATTTGATGAAATAGAAAAACAATTAGACATTTGGATTTCATTAAAGTAATACATTCACATACTATATTACGGAGAAAAATTAACAGCCAAATTGGACTACAGACTGGTTTGATGCTGATCTCTAGTTAATTTACAATAACCAGTGAACTGCCAATAAATCTGAGTCATTTTCCAACACATGATGCAATTAAGAGTGTGTGAAAGAGAACAAGAAAGCTCAGATAGTTAGCTAAAAGTGATCAATTAATGCTGTAAACAGATTTAGAGTTTAAAGAACAGTTTAAAATGTAAATGTAAACCATTGGAAGAGTTAGCTAAAAATAATGTATAAACAGTTTGAAAAGTTAGTTAAAAGATATATATTTACAATTGGACAGTTATCTGAAAGTAATGGATAAAAAGTTGGAAGAACTAGCTGAAAGCAATGGATTAAACGTTGAAAGAGTTAGCAGGGAGCAATGGATTAAAAGTTGGAGGAATTAGCTGAAAGCAATGGATAAAAAGTTGGAAGAGTTTGCTGAAGATAATGGATTAAAAGCTGGAAGAGCTATCTGAAATAAGTAGATAAAGATTTGGAAGATTCAACTGATGGGTTAACAGTTGAAATATGTAGGCTAATGGCATAATGGTCAAGGAATCCAGCTCAAGACACAACATGATGTAGTGGGCTCCAAGGACAAAACTGATCAAATGCACCTAAACATTGTCAGAAGAAATATTGTAACAAGATATTTATTACTATTTATAACTATGAGTAGGCTATCTAATAGCATCCAGTTTACACCGATCAGCCAAAACATTAAAACCACTAACAGGTGAAGTGAACAACATTGATCATCTTTATACAATGCACTGTTCTGTTGGGAAACCTTGGGTTGACATTCAGGTGGATGCCACCTGACACGCTCCACCCACCTAAACACCAGTGCAGATCAGGTACACCCCCCTCAACATATTTGGATGCTGATGAGGGTTACTCTATGGGGGTTTGGTTGAGAACCACTGATTTATGCCATCAAAATCCATCTCTGATCTCAGATAATTATCTCAAGTATACTGAAGATATCTGTGAGATTTACTCGAAAACCACACACATTTTCACAAATCCAATGAATAAAATGTGAATCAGTTTATTAACCTGAACAGATTCCAAAGAGCATTGACAAAAGAGAGGGAACAAGAGTTCTTAAGAACATTACAATAATAAGATTCCCTTACATACTGACAAAATACAGACAATAAAATTAGATTATTATGTTTAGAATCATTTCACACTCTTCTGTTGTGCCTTCAATTTCTTAAATGGAAAACTGAGCCATTGCACTTTCATTAATGTCAAATATTAAAGCAGTAAAATGATAAACTTCTGATATGTAGTCATGATGTCAGAATCAAGACGACTGGTTCTGATTATCAAATGAATCATACAAGATGCAGTTTAAAATCTGTAATATCATTCACACAATCTAAGCATTGTAGCTTGGAGGCTGTACAACACACCAACCATTCTACGACGGTGAGCAGTGGGTTGGTTTTAGTGTCCACCATGACTTTTAACTGTCCTTATCTCAACATAAATAATGTGCCTATAAAAGTTAATCATCTACTCGTTTGTAATGAGACATGTTTAACAGCCATAAAAAAGGTATTTTCTGTCCATTTTCCGTTTTTCTTTCTGCGATGACAACAACACGCTGAAACTGCACTTACTATGTTCACCACAGAAAGCAGTGAGGGTAATATCGACCAGTGACAGCAACAAAAATAAACCAAAATCAGTTATGAGCTATAAAAAGGGGTTACTGTATCCATGTCTTTTTACACTCCACTTGATTGTCTTTGCATTGCTGTATTTAGTGTAGTGTTACTCCAAAAATGGAGATTTCTTATGGTAATAGGTAGTTCTTGTTCTCCCGCTGAGGATATGGGGCTTGTGTGAGTTCAGGAGAGCCAGGATCAGTGTTTGGTCCTAGTTCGAGTGTGTTCTTTGCTCTGACTGAGCTGCTGAGTCGGTGTGCTGTGGATAATACACACTCATCCTTTTGTAAAACTGCAGTCCTGGTACCCTGTGTCCTTGTGATGCTAAAGTATGGTCCACGTGAGCTGTGTTGAGCCTGCCAAGTACAGAGCCAGTTACAGTACATTATATGGCAAGCGGATTAGGTCAAGGTGCTCAGGTCAAGAGTGTCTGAACACGTGGCCATCAGATACTGCATGAACCCCAATGTAATGTTGATACACACAGCAGAGTAGTTGCAGGATGGAGATTCAGACAAAATGAGTTGTATGTTGTCAGTGTGGCAGTCCTGTTGGTTGAGGTTGCTCATGCTTGAGACAGAGCACACCAGGAGTTCTGTGGGGCCATGGAAGTTGGTGTAAAGGGATAATCCTCATATTTAATGTCCACATGTCCTGATCCTGTGCTGTCTAACTGCAAAGCCGTCTGCAGGGAGGAAAGAGAAAGCAACAACAATCACTGACACTGTGTTGAATTTGAAAAGGTTACTTTAAAAGGACACAAGGCACTTTACTGATTTTACACATAAAAGTCATAGTGCTCATCATGAGGGGGACTACTCAGTGTATGGAAACAGCTCTATAATGTCTTCTGTGACTCTACTTTTATAGAACCTCTTCTGTATCAACTGCCCCACAAAATGGTTTGCACATAGAAATGGAATGAATGCACGGGGAACATTGAACTGTTTTCCATGATGATTGGATAGTTCAAAAAACATTATTGTGACAACACGCATCAGTGTGTAACATTCACTAGTTTAAGACTGAATCACAAGGCTTATTTACGGTAACTTATGGGTAGACAACCCTCACATCATGTTCATAAGATTAAACGCTCTTGAGCAAACACGGCCTCGATCGATTCGTTTTTAGCCACCTAAAAGAGGCCCACCTAAAGAAGTCAGTATCATTCAGTGTACACTACATTTAGGATATTTTCACTGCTTTACTTTGCCATCAGACAGCTCTTTCTGGCAGGGAACTGAAGCCATTATCTCAAAGCCAAGTCATTTTACTTCACAGAACGGTGATTACCAGTCGACCACTGCCTCTATCAGATATTGTGTAAGGTGAAGTTGTGAAAATAACGTAGATAGTGCACAAAAGACCCCTCTCCATGTTTCATACAACACTGCTCATTTGGCTGTTAATGCGAAACCTCAGTGATTATGGGACTTTGCACACATCGGTTTATATGGAAGTTAGTCCACCACAATGATTCCCATTGGGCCTTTAAAAAGACTTTTCCCCATTGACTTACATTGTGAAAGAGATGTCTGTAAATCAGTGGATATATTTTTTTGAGCTACACAACCCATGCAAAATGACTTATTTTACTAAAAGAATTCGATCCATTCATTCCGATGAGTCGGAAAGAGCTGTATGATTAAATAATTTCACCTCACTTCTAGTTCGCAGAGTAAAGAGTTAGCTGGCTCAGCCGGTGGAACTATCTGGTGCACTATTAGCCCATGGATATGGAAGATATTATACCTGGTAAGTTGAACTTTTTTGGGTTTGAGCAACTTTCATATGAATGAACAAGGCCCCGCCTCCAACCCTGTATCCAATTCTCTTTATACACCTATGGCTACATCAGACACAGTTCTTGCAGTGGTACACATGACACACACTGACCATACTGCTATGCTGATTTGAATGGGGAAGTCCGTTCTACTCTCATTATATATCTGTAGGTTTGCAGGTAGACATGAGGCATGAGTCAGTGATACAAATATGGCCTTCAATAAACTGTATGCTTGCTGTCCCAGCAGTAGCTGAGTTCACAAGTGTGCTAATGCTCAACTAGAGCCCTTTTCTACCTCCAGGGACTATACATTTGTGTGGCTTTTGTATTGTGAGGAGTTTTACCTGAGTGGCAGATGTGACTGTCTGTCCAGCGTAGGGTGAAGGGGCCATGTTGGGTTCGCTCTTAATGGTTGAGGCATGTTCTGAGACTGACAGGGAGGTTGGGGAGCTGGTGTCAGACGTGGTAGATCCTGAAGAAGAAACAGGACAGCCAAATTAGTTCTCAGACTGAAAAAAAACTATTTATATAACACTGAGACACTTTTCAGAATGATTTATGTTTGCTTATATTGATTTTAAATCAAAGTAAATCAAACTGAGGATTTAGATTAAATCATTCATCTTCTCCACTACTACACTTCATTCTCCTGTTTCTATTCATCTGTTGGCCCTACCTGTGGATGTTTTATTCTTGGGCATCTTGGGTTTCCGCTTCCTGGTCTGAATGCTCTCTTTCTTCATGGCCAGAGGTCTGGGTACCTGTAGGGAGTAGAGCAACACACATTAGTTGAGCGTACCTCCCAGTCCCTGATACACCAGAAGCCACAGTCTCATGACAGCCTGACCAGAGCTCCCCTCCCACACTGCTGCTCTGATAACAATGACCACAATGCCCTTGGAGAGGTTTTACACTGCGCAAATAAAGAACTGCTCCCTGCTGTAGCAGAAGTTTGCTAAAGGAGCTGTTTTACACACAGGTTAGTGCATAAGAGGACTGGACTTGAATAGGAGACACTATATGTCAAACTAAATAATGCATTTTCTGCAGAAAATGCATGTGAATGCTAACAGCAGCTGAAATTCAAAGCATTGCTGAAAGATCTAGAAACTAAATTGTAAAACTTTCAGAGTTGGAAGCTGAACTGCATTACCTAAAGAGGCAGAGGTGAAATACATTGCCAGATAAGCTGGAAGCTTAATTGTACTGTCAACAGTGGAAATTGAAATTAATTAACTAAAAGGCTGAAAGAGAAATGCTTTGTACTTTAAAGAGCACAAAATGTTGAAAAAACATTTGAATAGAATAACTTGAATGGAAGCATAATTGTCCTTAAAGAGCATAACCTTTTGACTTGAATGGTTTTTGTAGCTGAAAGTATGCCGAAATAGTTGTTCATTGGAAAATGCACAGAAGTAAAGTTTGTAAATTGTTTAAAGCTTAAATGAAGTCATACAGAAGTAGCAGAATTTGAAAGTGGGATGGATTAAGATTTAAAGATTTTTTTCCCATTCATTGCAACTATAGTAAAATATAAAAAAAGTTTTTTTTTTCATTTTATTTTATTTTTATTTAATCTATATTTTATCAGGCAGTCTCATTGAGATCAAGATCTCTTTTACAAGAGACCTGAGAAAAAGGAACATTCACAATCAACAGACAAAACAACACACAACACAACAAACAACAAAAACAACAAGATATAAAAGGAATTAGCAGAAACAGTTACAGCAATCATAGTAAACATCAGACAACAGAGATTTAAAATCTCCAAGATGAATGAATGTCTCAAGTTTAAGGGCAGATTGCAGATCATTCCATTTAAAGGGAGCATAACATCTGAAACCAGTTCTGCCAACATTAGTGCGTGTATATGGAATATCTAAGGTTAAATAGCTACTGGATCGTGTTCTGTAGTTACTGAATTTAAATGAGAGAAGAGATGTGAGGTAATTGGGAAGTTTCAGCAGTAGAGCTTTGTAGATGAATAACATGAGATGGATATTTCTTCTAGACTGTAATGAAGTCCAACCAACCTTTTGATACGGAGAACAATGATAAGTGCGAAAATTGTCATTAGTAATGAAGCGTAATGCACTGTGATACACAGGGTTTAACTGCTGAAGAGTTGGTGGGGCAGCGTGACAATACAAAATGTCCCCATAATCAAGGACAGACATGAAGGTTGACAGTACAATGACTTTTCGGTTGGAGGGAGACAGACAGCCTTTGATCCTGTGCAAGAGGCCTAATTTGATTTTTAGTTTTTGAGTTAACTGTTGAATGTGAATCTTGAATGATAAATTGCTGTCAAGCCAAATTCCTAAGTATTTTTATGAGTCAGTGAGAGTAATGTGGGTGCCATTTAAGGTCTTGATGGAAGGATAGTCAGAGTCACTAGTGGTGTAAGTGGAGAATACCAAGTATTTGGTTTTTTTCTGCATTTAAAACTAGTCTGTGGTTATGGAGGGATACTTTTAGGGCATCAAAGGCAGTCTGTAGATGAGTCAGGGCTTGGGATGATGTAGAACCGGGGGCATATAAGATAGAATAATCAGCAAAAAAGTGGACATTAAAATATTGATTCGGGAGAATTGTCTTATCAATGTATAATGTAAATAGCAATGGTCCAAGGATAGACCCCTGCGGCACCCCGTTTCTGATAGTGAGTGGAATTGATTGAGCACCATCAGCGACAACAGTCTGAGTTCTGCCATCTGTTCATATTACCATCAAAGGAGTTTTATTTTGAAAAGAAAAGCCTGTATGTAATAACATATTGCTGAATCTGCATTCGCATTATAAAGCATGAGAGTAGATTTGAAGAACAGCACCCTAAGCTTTGACCTACCCCATGTAGCTTCATGTAGAGGCCACAGGCGTTACACACAGGTTCCCCCTCAGCATTGCGTCTCCACAGTGTGGTGATGCTGGTGTGGCAGTTAGTGCAGCAAAGGCCAGCCCGGCGAGATGTGGTCTGCTGCAGGTATAGAGGAGATTTTAAAAAAAAAAGACATTTGAATGAATAACAATTTGACTTTTGCTGGCTGAAACCCAAATTAAAAATCTCAGTGCAGTCAGAAATAGGCTCACAACTCACATCTCAGTATCCTTGAACTATAGTTTGAGAAAACTGAGTTGAGCTGTTCCCTTAGCTTTTAGAATGAATTGCAGGATGTCAGTATGTGCTTTGGTCCAACAATAATGAATTATCCTTCCACGTACCCATGCAAAAATTCTAATAAGTCAAGGTGGACAACCTTTAAAGACAACATAACAAATGATTAATATTGTCCAACACCATAGTGTGACTCATTTTGCACCAGAGGTGTGCAGAAAAAGCACCACACTACAGCAGAGCGTCACGTTGCGTTGGAGAGCCTTGTCTAAAAACAGCCGTCCAAGGGCAAGGTCGCTGCAAGACAAATACAAACAGGGAAAACAGCACAGTGGTGGAAGGAGATGTTGGGCAACTCACAGCTGCTCTACAGAGGCAAGTTCCTGGGAAATATACAGCCGTGAAGCCCTGACACCCGCCCTCACTGCAGCACCACAGAGTTTTTTACATTCTCTTAATGCTCGCTAAGCACAAATTATCTGCTCTGACCTCTTCAGAATACATGGAAAGGATTTTGCATTAGCAATTTACATAATGATGCCAATTTGCTATTTGACTAACTTGTGGTATTACCAATATGTAGGGGTGGAAGAATTCAGATCTTTTACTGAAGACCAAATATACCACAGTGTAAACATACCCCATTACAAGCCGAAGTCCTGCATTCAAAATTGTATTTAAATAAAGTATTGGTATTATCATTACAATGTACTTAAGTTTGATAAGTAAAAATATTCTTAATGCAGAGTGTTATTTTATTATATAAAGTAAATTATAAAATTATCATTACAAGCATCCTAATGCTGTAGCTAGTTGGAATTGAACTAATTTTAATACTGGTGGGTTGCTTAAATTATAACAATGTGCAATATTCCATGAACTGACTGGATGTTTTGAATGAAAAATTAATCTGCAATGTAAATTTGGCTGAAAGATAACCATACGGGAGCAAAAAAGTTCACGGTTTATTATCGTTTTGTTTTAACTATTGACTATCATAAAATATGAATACTTACAGTATGTAAAGTACAAGTACTTCACAATTGTACTTGTATACATCTTTAAATGACATATCAGTGGCGTTGTTACGCCTCTGCGTCTGAGGCTTCAGCCTCCACTGTTTTATGAATAGCCCCAAATCTAAATATACAGGCTATGCATATATTTCAAAAATAAGAATGTGCCTCATTATAAAAGAAAAGAAAAAGCCCCAGATGTCCTCTCAGATATTTTACTTAAGTAGAGTACAGTGTAAAAATACTCAAATACTCAAAATAAACTTCATGTACCAAAAGTAAAAATACTTATTAAATGGCTCATTTCAGATTCATATTGGATTATAATTATTAATGCATTCATGTGTTCACCACTTCAGTATTGCAGCTGTTAAAAGTGGTGCTCATTTTAATCACTTTGTATACTGCTGGGTAGTGTAATAATACAACATCATACCAAAGTTCATTAAAAGTAGATCTTTTGCATTAATCCCCTCAGACCCCCAACAGAGGTTTGGGCTGAGCCCCCAGTGTCCTCAAATCTTAGAAACACCTCTGTCAATCAGTTTGCAAAAGTGTGTGTTGTTTGTTTCTCCATATTCAGTGTCTTTCCAGTCTTACCAGTCGTTTCTGCGGTTTGATGAGCGGCCTGTTGATGCCGTTCATTTTATGGTAGAGGCCACAGGCATTGCACAGGTAGTGTCCGGTACCGTCCCTGCGCCACAGCGGCGTGGACACGGAGCCGCAGTTGACGCACTCCCTGCCCTCAGCAGTCATGTCGTCCATCAGGTCTGAACACAGCAGAAGACACATGAGATTGAACCCGTGTTGTACAGAGAACATTTTAATAAGAACATCACCAGCGAGACCATTCCGATAACCTATCACTACACTTTATTTATCTATTTCTCGGTAATATTGTGTGAGAGAGTTAATGGTTTTCAGTTATGTTTAGCTGCACTGATGACATCACTACAACCCTCTAACCAGCCAGCGCAGTCTATGAATTATCAGTCTTTTATTGATGTTCGGGTATCTATCATATTCCGCTGATATTTCCAAAAGTCTAATCAAACTCTTTTCATTTCATCTCTCGTCCTTTGCAATTTTACAGTTCCTCCTGTGACAACATCCATGAAAAATTGGAATAAACAACATTCCTGTTTACGAGAACTTTTAAAAAGTAGCGGGGGCGCGAATGTGGGCTCTGGTTACGGGCCAGTGCATGACGAATTGGTCGGAGGAGGAATTTAAACCCCCTCTGTCCTTTCCCTGTGATGAAGAGAGATCAAACCCCCCGAATGAATCAATCGGGAGACAGACTGATGGAGGAATCTGTTTGAGGAGGGGCGGGACGGTGTGTTATCAGCCTGAAGGATCCAGGGGTCCCCTCCATCCATCACAGCTCTGACACACGACGGACTCCTGGCATTAATTGCCCAAATTCCTAATCCCCCAATTTAGAGAAGCAGAGAGAGAAAGACCGAGGAAGACCCGAGGAAGACCCCAGAGATGGAGATAAATCTACTGATCCTGAGCCTGCCTAACTTTCTTTATAGCTCTCATTCCTAATTATTCCATAAGAAGAAAATACACCAAAAATAAATACTGTGTCGATGGTTTGTGACAAACCAAAAAACACCTGACGTCAATTTCTCTTGCGTCAGACGCCTCTCACGAGCATCTAAACCTTTGAACTCTGAGCAAATCTGATGGATTTCTTCAAAACACGAACGCGAACACTGAGCAAGAGATGGGTAAAAGGTGACAAGACAACAAGAAAACGACCTGGAAATTACTTTTTAAGCTGAATCTATATTTGCCTTCCACGGGGACTAACAACTAATATGTTCAAATATTTAAAAATAAATAAATAAAAATTGGACTGCAGCAGTGTGGTATAAAACCTGTACGTGACCCCTGTATATTAAATACGTATAGCCTAATGTATAAATGTATGCAGCATGTAAGATATGATTACTTCTATTTATTTATTCCTTTACTTTTTTTTTTTTTTTTTACAAAATGCTTCGGCAATAACATATATGGCCATGCCAGTACAACTATTTGAATTGAGTTGAATGTAACTGAGCGAGAGAAAAAATTATCAGAAAATTATACAAAAGAAAAAAAAAAAGGCCAGAAAATTAATATATATGTATATTAAATATAAATAAAATATCTAAATTAATACATATTGACATCATATATTAGTGT